CGTGTGCTCTTCCGATCTCCCCAAAACCCCAAAACCCCATTATTAGAATTTAGTTAAATTCCAATAGGAAATATATATTAATCAAAGCAAAATTTAAATTGATTATTCTGTATTGAACTCTCTCACTTCTTCTTTTTTTCTTTCTTTGATGGTGACTTTTAAAGACTTAATGAAAGATTTCCTCTGCTATCATCTTCACAGGCAGGAAATTCTCTCTCAGAAACAAAGAGGTTCTTGGCCATAAATTCATAAAATCTGTCTGCGTAAGTAGCGGGATCAACGCAGGAAAAACAATTAGGTGGTTTGCTCTTAAATCTATATCTCAAATATTTTGTTTCTAACTTCTTCTTATTTGTATAAGCTTGCAAGAAATCAATTACTCCTAACCTATAATACACATTTCTATTAGTTTTGCTCTAATATTCAATGAAGTCTCTGGTTCTAGGCATCAATGTTGATTTTCTATCAATAGAAGAAGAGGCACCGTCACTACTAATTGGTCTGTTATCTTCATTGCCAGGCATATACTCGTCAAAGAAGCTGTTTCTACTCTTTGCTCTAGCCCTTCCATCCTATTCATTGTGAGGAACATCAAACGCCATATTTGTGCCTAATGCTTCAAATTTATCCTTATTGGGATCAGGTATCTACTCAATTTGAATCTCATCTATTCCATTATCTCCTCTATCCATAAACATTGAGACCTTTCTAAATTCTTTTGCTATGGTAGCTCTATTAGGTAATGCTTCGAAATCTGCAGACCCTTCTTTTTCGAAGAAAATGATTAAGAGCGAGTAATCCATAAGATTACAATTTTTTAAGAATTCCTTATCCTTATATAACCTGTCGATAAAATCTTTCCTCAGCAGTTAATCAAATGAAAGAAAGTTTTCAGGATCTGTCAGAAGGTTTAAATCTTTTCTAACTGTTCTCTTGCTCTTTAATTTTTTAGTCATTCTCCTGTGAGTACTTCCTTTTAAGTCATAGATACTTGTTACTTCTTCGATATGATCTCCCATTAAATTATCCATCAGCACTACAGATATTGGCTTCATGTATTTTATTTTAACAGTAAAGATGCCATAGAATCTGGCAAGTAGTGATCTTGGGTTCTTTTTCAAGTGTCCATTATATTTCTCAAGAATACCTCTTTTAACTAGCAAGTTAAGTTCGGCAGGCTTCAATGTCTTGATAATGAATTAGTTATTGGCTGTGTAGAAGAAAAAACTGTCAGATTTTCCAGATCCAATCTAAAATCTTGTCATTTAAACATGATTAGCTTTAGGAGCGAAAGCCTTAATCATGAACTGATCATCAAAGCCTGATCTCTACTTTATCTTTTTGCATATTTCTGGATCATACTCAGAAATTTTAATCTATACTTTCCTTCCATCTACATTAGTTATTATTTTGTTAAAAATCATACTTGTGACATCAGACACACATAAATCTTCGTTCTTCTTAAAAAATTCTGACATATCCATTATATGATCTACATCCCCACTTCCTCTATTCATTTTTTAATAAAAACTAAGATTCGTACAATTAGTATCTTAAGGCTTTTTTAATCACCCCAATGTTTAAACCTTTAATTAAACCCTTTCCTTCTTCTATTTCTTGTTCATTTGCTGTTATAAGACAGTGGCAAATACTCATAAGCACTGTATTAATAATCTAGTAAATTTTATATAAATATTTTTATAGCTTACGAAGAAATTTGTCTTTTATTTTATGGACATATGGTTAAACTGATCATTAAAGTTGGTATAAGCATCTGATATCAGATTTTCAAGTTTTTATGAGTCAATTATTTCCAGCTCAGTTCCCTCTTTTTTATTATCTCCATTTTCAAAATCTTCATCCTCACTATCAGTATCTACTCTCTTACTCTCTTATTGAAAAAGCATAGACACAGATTATGATTCATCGATTGATTCCTCTTCTTTTTTTGTTTTACTTTGGTTAGCCTTGTCCATGTTCAATGTATCTGATTGCTACAAGAATGGTGTCTCTTTTGAGGATTTTTTAGGCTTTTTGCAAGTTAACTTATTGTATAAGATTCCACACTTCTTGAAAAATACAGGCTCTGCTAAGGTGCAGCAGACTAAACAAATATATGTGCAATGATCTACAATGATGTAAGCCTAAATAAGTATTATATAAATTTATTGTAAAATTTACATATCTAAGCTCTTTGAATCCATCATCACCATTATATGTGTAGTACTCCGAACTATGTGAGCCAAATATAACGATTACTACCTCCAAGCATTACATAGACATCAAGAATGTTACATAGAAAGCGTACTTTCTTACAAATCTTTTCAACTTTTTAGAGTTATACTAGAATTTAATATTCTTACGGACTGTCTGATAATGAAAGGTGTCTGTTTGATGATTTTAGAAATGAAAAATATTTGCATCGTTACCAAAATAAATGGCAATATCATTAATACATCTGCATCCTATCCTGGTAAAAACATCATGCCACATTATAAATTTTCCTATACAAAATAATTAACTTTATGTTTTTACCTAGACTCCAAATGAATTGAATTTTGACATAATAATTGTAAAAGTAAGGGCTAAAGCAAAGGTTATTGCATGGAAAAAGCAAATAAGTTTTTGTAGCTTGTGAATTGGGTCTTTGATTATCTATTGAATTAACACTGCAAACCAAAGTGCATAGAACTAAGACATATAGTTACAAAAAACTGAGATGCATCCTAAAAATTGGCATGTTATTCCCTCTGAGGACAATGGGAGATTATTTATTGCTTCATAATAAGGCTTCGATAAGTCTACAATGTAAAGTTCTTAAACTAGAGCGTTAATTTTATCGAACGATTATAGTCCTAAGATAATCAAGAAAAACCTTCCCATATTCCTCCTACAAAGTTTAATTAATGCTGAATTACCTAGATTTAGGATGCTTGAGTTGAAATGCTATTGTAAAAAATCCTAGAGTAAGGCATGCTATTGAGGAGTAGACAATAAAGTCATGTAGCCACTCATCAATTTAAATGTTGATATTTGGTATATAATCAGACTCTAAAGACATTAATAATCTTAAAATATTTAACTTAATTTTCAAATTACTCTCTCTAATTTAAAATCAAGCGGGGTTTTGGGGTTTTGGGGTTTTGGGG